CAATGAACTATAACAGGTTGGGTCTTCATTGTTTCATCAAATAAACTTAAAAATCAACTACAATCACTAAACTCGATAACAGAAAATGTGAGGAATTAAGAAATTTCACCTGTATGATCTTCTTGAAAAAAATAAAAATGTGTCATTTAGACCAAAAAAAAGACATTATTTTCCAATGTTCTTAGATAACTGAGCATCTAACACCGTTGATATATTTGAGGTTAAGAGTTTAAACATCTCTTGTACTGAAAAAAGAAACATAATAAACCAAAAGATAAACTTCTATAACTGAAGTTTATGTAGCATTTTGCATAAAACTACTGTTGGTGTGTATGTACATTTTGCCTGAACTCTGGTACTATGATATGGAGACATTGGCATAAAGGTCGAAGAAATTAGAAACAATTCTACTCAGACATTCATTGAAATCCTAAAGTGCTTTTAAATTGAAAAGGTGTTAAAACAATTAGACTTTGATACTAGTCACTACAAATATCAGACGCACATTTCAAATCCTGCATATATCAAAATGGATTCCTCCATATTCTAATAATGTACAAACCACAGAGCAGGTTACTATTCACTTCCAATATTCCCACTTGTAGTTTCACTTGTTTTGTACCCAAAGAACTTTGAAAGGACCATGATAAAAATAATAAAAGTGTGGATGTAGATTGTTGAGGTGTCTAGGTGGACCTTCTGGGAAGATAGAAGGCATTGAGATGACTCTAGATCATTGACTGTAAGGAGAGAGACAAGGGAACCTAAAGGAGAGAGGGAGATGGCAATGGAGACACTCAGCCAGAGGTAGGAAAGTTGGAAATCGAATACCTTTACAAGAGATTTAAGTCAAGGAGAACAAGGTAGTCTCCTAGGCTTAGGTATAGGTGGCACAGCCCACTTGATTCTACAAGCCTAAGGTTTCTCAACTACCCTCTGTATCAAACCTCGGGCTGTATCATGGAATGTCAGGAAGTAGGTATGTTAAGCCTGAAGGCTTGTACCAAAAGAGTTACAATAGATATGTGATGTTCCCATCCCGAAGCATAACTAGGCTAGGCCTCGCAACTTCAAAATGGTCGATACTAGAAAAGGATGTGAACTCACTTGTATATAGTCTAGAAACTTAAACTGTCTAGCCGATGGATCAGGACATTACAAAGTAGCTATGATACACCTTCCGAGGTGTTGCACCTTGCTGGAAGGTCTTGTCTTCTTATCATTGTGCCAACAAACAAGTAACTATGATAACACCATGAACAAGTCAACAACATCCAAAAAAAAAAAAAAAAAAAAAAAACACTACAATCTTGGGTATCATTACTTATAGAACCTCTATTTTTGCACAAAAGAAAGCTGTAAAACTTAGCGTTTCTAAATTTTGGTAATTCTCCATTGACAAACAAGTGAAGCCCAATTAATTATAGTTATGCCACTGCTTTTGGGACCCATGATCCTCACTAATTTGGATCACTCTAAAACAAGGAAACAATATGTTTAATCAGTTGTTTGCTATATATGCTACCATTTATAAGCAACACTTTGCCCCATTTGGTAGCACTCACAATTCAACTTATTTAACTTATTTGGTTTTAAGAAGTTAATTAATAACAAACATTTTATTGCAATTGTAAATTATAGCCTATTTGACTTTTTCAACTTATTTTTCCAAAAAGGAGTGAGATTTTCTTAAGCTACAAGTCATAACTTTTTTTAGCTTATCTAAAACCCTTGAATACGTATGGACAAAAGTGCCGCATCTTGTCTTAGTTATACCTTTTGAGAACATTTTGGATATTTACACAGCAAAAAAGCTATGTCACATTATTTAACCAACCAAACAGGGTCAACTTTTTTCACAGATTATAAAAACGACACCAAACAAATTTAGAAATTATTTTAAGCTAATAAACTAAAATGATATAGTCATAATGATACCAAACAGGCCACTTGTCTCATTGCCATTCAATCTATTCTTGCAGTTAATCGGAATAACACCAAGATTCGAGTAACCAACCTCCACATATTTACACAAAATTTGCCAATGTAAGTAAAGCACATATCCAATGAAGTTATCAAATCCGTGTTTGGTTCATTGATTTCAGAAGGGATTTGAAAAGAAAAATGAAAAAAATTTTGTGAAACTAATTATATTTCATTCAACATTTCACCAATATTTTCTTTTTCATTTTCTAAATCCATATCCAAATCTATAAACTAAACACAGCGTAAAACAATTGTTCAATCTTATGCCAATTTTTCTAATATGATGGTGAGGGAAAGCTTATATAGAGACCCATATGTTTCATAACAAAATCAAAATTATAACTTTGAATACATATTTGTAAGCACTTGTAAGTAGAAACATGACATCGAAATCGGGAATACGAAAAGCTCGACTGAGGAAGAGAGACTCACTGGTAGAGTGAAAAGCTAGACAACTTTAGTCCTTGTCGTTTATGGAGATAAGAAAAATGCTTGGACCACTAATTAGTGCTCCCACTAATTAGGTGGTAGTGGGTTTCGTCAGTAATGATGTGATGTTTTGATCTTGGAATTGTATTTTTTTTATTTTTTTTATTTTTTTAATGTATTAGTACTATTAGTGATGGTGTTTTTAGTGGGATGAATCATTGTTGATGGAGATAGGGTTTAGAGAGAGAGAGACTTGGAGTCGTTCTGGATTTCCTTATAGAGCCGCTATTCTGTGAGAGCTCGAATCGACAATCATAACTAACGCATTGGGGCACTTGTCTAGCTTCTATTTCCACTAAATTTTTATTTTATTTTATTTTTTTTGGGAATTAAAAAAAAAAAGTTTGATTTTATAATAGAACAATTCTTAATTTTTTTAATTTTCTCTATTTAAATCTTAAACTTGTTTACCGTATTTATTTTTAATTTAAATTATTTGACTACTTTTGTTAAATAAAACTAATACAAAAAATAATATGTTATTTATTAAACTTAATAAAAAATAATATTTTTGATATTTTATATACACTTACTATAAGTTTAATAACTAAAATAATAATTTTCATCAGTTTATTTCACTGCTGGAAATCGGGCTTTTAGTGGCGTTTTAAAAACGCCGCTATATCTATCAAAAACGCCGCTAATTCATTTTGTGGCGTTCAGTACCAAACGTCGAAGCTGCGGCCGTCGCTGTATCTTTGCGACGTAAAACACACAGACCAGAACAAAAAATAAAACTGACAGTGTTAATGGTTTTCCCATCCTGCTCGACTGTGCGGATTTTCTGCATTAGTGGACATAAAAATAATTACTACCTTATATTAATGTCAAAATAATATGATACAAGCCAAGGGAAATAAAAGAGTTTGCTTACAAAGTCAACTCCAATAGTGCTAATGTAACTTTCTAGATATGAGTCATCCTGATTATAGAAATAATAAAAATGGTAAACAAAGTTAGCAGTAGTCTGGATACAAGAAGTAGTTTTGAACAATAACACAATCACATGAACATAATATGGAGAAATGAAGCATGCTTCCCAATTATAAAGCCAAACTGCTTATAATTGGTGAAGTTTCACAACGGGTGATATATGCCAACTGCGATTCTGTCGGTTTCTCAACCATTAAATCAGGGGCTCAACTCCTTCCTTCTCTTGCAAGTTAAAGAAAAATGCATGTACCATGAAACATATTAGACTTGTGCTTAAGTCAGAATTTTAGTACAAAATGTTACTTGTGTAATCTTAATCCACATCACAACAACCTCCCACTCACACAAGCACCGGCAGATCTGTTGCAAAACTAACCTAACAAAATCAAGCTAGAAATCTAAAATTATGCTTGGTAGCAGGTGAAAATCATATAGAGAAATAAAAAATTAGCTCAATCTTAAAAAGAAGACTTTCAAAGGAATCGTCAATAATACACATGTATGCCATGAGAATTGCTCATAGACAATGAAGTATAATTTGAGACTCAATTAAAGCTCAAGATTACATTAGGTCATAAATAGTATAATTTGCATTATTGGGCCAAAGTTTGTAAGATAATCAATTTGGACACTTTGAAAACTATAATTTTGTGAGTTTCTGATAAAATGTTTATGGTCATCTTTGTTCAATAGTTTGGAAGATAAGTGTCCACATAATTATGCTGCCATGGTTAATGGGTACTGTGATGCAGGCAATACAAGAGAGGCTTCTGAACTTTTTGTTCGGCTGTCTAAGGAAGGAGTTTTTGTGAAAAAGAGTTCATGCCTAAAACTTCTCAGTAACCTTTGTATGGAAGGTGAAAATGACATGGCACTTGCCTTATTTGAGAGAGTGTTGGTTTTGTATGATCCCCCTTGTAAAATAATGTACAACAAGCTTATAGCTGCTTTTTGTAGCTCTGGTGATATGAGAAAGGCCCAGCGGGTGTTTGATACAATGTTATGGACAGGGTTAACTCCTGATGTCATTACCTACACGATGATGATAAATGGTTATTGCAGGGTAAACTGTTTGCAGGAAGCATGTGATCTTTTTAAGGATATGAAGGAGAGGGGTATTGAACCTGATGCAGGAAGCATGTGATCTTTTTAAGCATGTTATCCGTCGAAATGCAGGATGCAACAATGGAGAACTGAAGGATATTTCCACTTTTTGGAATGAAATGAAAGAGAAGAAACTAAAACCTGATGTTACTTGTTAGACTGTATTGATTGACAATCATTGTAAATCAGACAACCTACAGGATGCTATTGTCCTTTTTGATGAAATGATTGATAGAAGTCTAGAACCAGATATTGTGACATACACAGCTCTCCTATGTGGCTATTGTAGTCAGGGAAACGTGGACAGGGCTGTAACCCTTGTTAATGAGATGTCATTTAAAGGAATTCAGCCAGATGCTCGTTTCATTTCAGTGTTGCACCGTGGTATATTAAAAGCCAAGAAGGTGAAGTTTCAGCATCAAAGGTGAGTGATAAATGATTATGACATTTATATGTGGTTATGGAGACTATCTCTAAGAGTGCACATGTTGCTGAGTGCACATTTTGGTAGCCATTACATAGCAAGAGAGATTTCAAGTACAACAATGAAAGCAAAGCCCTGAGCCCAAATTCAAAGCTTCAAATGCAAAGATGACTTCATAAATGGTCACCCCTTTAATTTTCCATCTCCAAAAATACCCAAATTTAGTCACTAGTCACAACAGTAACAACCAAAACCCTAATTTCAGAACCAACAATGCCTTACAAATCAAATGAACATAAACCACGAACTAGTGATATTAGTACTTTTACCTTGTTAGTTCTTCTTCTTCTTCTTATTCTTCTTCTCTTTCTTTGAAAGGTGAACCTATATTTAATAAGAGCAAGTATTGTAATTAATAAGATATGTTATTTGTCAAAAAAGCTTTGATTAAATGATTGCTCACCTCTTGGGATGAAAATGCATGAGATTGTTGTTGATGTGACATTGGCCGAACAGTGGGATGACTACTAAGTGAATCCACAACCTATCATTCAATAAGAGACTTAAATTGTATATTAGCTCTAGGCAATTTAAAGTAATAACTAGTAAAAATAATTAAAACACCTGCTGCCTATGTAATGAGTCTGATGGTGCAACAACTGGGTCAACGGGCAAGGACAGGCTCAAAGGGTGAGATTCCAAAAACTGAATTTGTGACTGAAAATCTGTGCGTATAGCCTGAATTTGTTTCTCCATTACTTCATTCATCTTCGACTCAAACTGCATTTGATACCGTTGAAGTTGCTCTTGAACTTGTTCTTGAACTTGAGTTTGGAAGAGACGATTCTGCTCTTGTGACCGCCTATATCCACCTCCAAAAACATCAGTGGGTGACGGTCCCAATCCAAACGTCCGAACACGACCAGGTCGCTCTGGGCCCATAATTTGTGTGAAGATTTGCTCCTGTAATGCTGCAGGGTCAGTAGAAGATCCCTCCATGTGCTCTGCTAACTCATTCATTTGAGTCTGCAAGTTTGAATTCAATAATTAGCCTCCAATATAAATATAAATCATATTAAAAGTCCAAAGATAAAGTAGTATCACATACCATAACCTCATTAACTGAATCACTATTTGACGTCCCATCTTTCATGTATGCGGCCATCCACACCTGTGACCGACTAGCAGGAACCCCATTGTTCTTTTTGGTCTCCTATAAATGAAAGACAACCAAAATCTTAAGATAAATAAGAAAATTAAATAATTAAGCAATTAAATATGTGAACAAGTGTAAATAAAATAAACAACTAAGCAAATAACATCTGTTTTTGTAGAACTGGTATAAATTCATTATGGTGCAAATTGTTGACACCTTTTTAGCACATATAGACAGCTATAGATGACAAAGAATGAAAAGGATGAATGGAGAGAATAATTATACCTCCAGTCGAACTACTGAGAAAGGCTTTCGGCCTGTCCTATGATGTAATGTCTTCTTCTTCCGGATTTTTCTATTCTTCTTGCTTGATTTCTGTCCAATATGAAATTTATTTAAGATGTTATAAAAAATTATCATATATAAACATTGTTTCACATAAATAAAATTTTACCGATGCACTCTGAGTGCCCCAATAGTAGACCAAAGCCCGCCACTGATCCTCATGTACTCTATCTGGTCGATGAGCCAACCTTTCTGCATCATTCTTGAAGGGTTTGTATCCCATTGTTTTCACTCGACTTTTCCAATCTCTCCATTTCTTTCCAAATGAAGCCATTATTGTTCTCTTCATGGATTCATCTGCATCCGTATGAGCCTGCATTACAATTATAGACACTTGTAATATGCAATGTCAACTACACTTGTAATATGCATTTCATATGGAATACAATTGTAACTTATTTCATATTAAATATCCATATATACCTTTATCTCCCTCCATATGTTATCTTTGTTTTGTTTTGGAACATAATGCCAAGTCGTAAAAGTGAGTGGTGCAAGACTCCCATCTCGTGCCAAAACGCCCAAATGTGAAGCAAGGGATGTGTGTCCTTCAACCACTTGATTCAACTCATTTGGAACAACTTTTAAAATGCCATCTTCACTAGTACCCCATTGACCATGCACATATGTGGGACCCCTTGTCTGCTTTTGTGTGGCTTGACTTGAGCTAGGACCTACAAAACAATAGTAGTAAGCTTCA